GGGATGCACCAATCAGGTTTTTTGCTGCTGATCACCGATACCGATCACGTGGATTGGCCAGAAATTTTCTACAACATTATAATGAGTGCTACAAACTACATAATCTGGGAATAAAGGAAATGTAACCTAATCTAAAATGGTGTGTATTAGGGTCGTCACGGTGTGAAAATTTAACCTCACGGTTATTGTGACCAAAATTACCACGGTTTTCTGTATTATTGCGGTATTTTTTTAAACGTGCTACATTTTCACACAATTAAATAAACCCTGTATGTCAGGAAATATTGTCCTCAGTTTGTGTCTAAATTTTGCCTAAAATGTGTTATTTTGTAATTATGTTGTTTATTTGTTTACATTTTTTCCCTTTAGTCTTTAAAATTGGCCCATAACTTCTTATTTTTTGTTTGTTTGATGTCATCATTTTAAAAATATTAGATCAGATGATACTCAGTACTCAAGTAGCCTTCTAATAAGATACTTTTTTACCCTTACTTGAGTAATAAACCCTATATCAGGAAAATATTGTCCTCGGTTTGTGTCCTTCCAGTGAGCTTTGCAGATGTGGGAAAATGTCATCAGGCAGTAATCATTGTTAAATTCATAATTATTCTCGGAGAGAGACCAACTCTTATCTGCCCCTGGGAGCCCCGTAATGCATAGCGTCATTTCAACGTGGGGGTGTCCGCGACACGGTTTATATGCAGGTAGCGGCGCTGCGGCTGCTTTATATAGCGACTCGTTGCATTCTCCCTCAACCCAAATGTTCGGATCACGCATTTTTGCTAAAACGCTAACGTTAGCTTGCCTTGCGTTGACTGTAGAGTTGTGGGTGATGGTCACGCAGATGTGTCATGAGATTTGAAGCGTTGCTGCCTTTCACAGACACTTTTTCTGCACGTGCTGCAAACAGGACAGCCGTCGTCTTCTATCAGCTGTCCCTCAGCATTCTTCGAATATCCAGAAGATGCCCGTACTTCCCACTTTGTCTTCTTTGAGGGATAAAAAATGTCCTCCTGAGTGCTGCCGTCTCCTCCTTTGGCCGTTATTTCAGCTTTAGCTTCAAGAAAGTTTTAGTTGTAAACAACAAAGTGCGCATGTGCCGCCGGCAACCTCAGCAAATGATACGGTGGCTGGTAAGGGTCAGCACGCCTACACCGCAGCCACGGTAATCCACCGAGATAATATAGTTTTTTAAAACAAGACTGTTATTATTATTGTCAACTTTTTTTTACCGGGGTTTACCGCTACACCGGTTACCGTGACAACCCTACCTGATCGGTCTGCTTTGATCTATTTTGAAAACTCCGATCCAAACCGATAGGGGCGCCATCGGCAGATTGGGATCAAATGCCGATCCGTCGGTGCATCCCTAACAAATACATCCTTTTTTCTAAAAAAAAAAAATAAAATAGAATAATACATTTTAAATCTGCTCTTGACTAAAAGAAAAGCCCAAGTCTGAATAAAGTTAAAGTTCCATTGGTCATCATCACACACTGGTGAAATGACATCTCTGCATTTGACCTATCCCCGTGGGGAGCAGTGAGCTGCATTCAAGAACTATTTGGTAGTTTAACCCCCCAGTCCAACCCCTTGACCTCTGCTTCACACTGGAAGCATCAGCGGCGCGGAACGACAGCGGAAAGGTTTACTCTCGACAATCGCTGCACTCCAGTGCACACTGGGAGAGTCTCAGCCACGAAGCGGCTCCTCCGCTGTAGTCCCCACTCGACTCGCGAGATCACAAAATCCCTCGAGACTTCCGCCATCCTCCTCGCTTAACTCGCACGATCACTAAATCCCTCGAGTTTATGCCGTTCGCTGTTAAACCACAAAGAAAGAAATCACGTTTAATATCGCTGTTTGATGTCATAGATGTTGTTCCTCTCCACTGCCAGGATTAAAGCCAGTTGCACTTCTGGATTGATGCAAGAACTAAATAAGCCATTAGGTCAGTTGCATTGACGTAATTTACATAGATATGAAATCGCATCGCTGCAATAGACTTTTATTTTGAAAATTACCAGGGGTTTTACACTAAAACTGTGTGATTTCCTTTCTAGCCCTATGTAAACTGCGGAAATTGTCGTGTTCCAGAAGCGACTCGTTAGCCTGGCAAGCCAGACTAAATAAATGTATTATTTAGTCTGGCCACGCTCCATTGACGGCTCTCGGTTGTGGGGCGGGTTCTACCGTTGTCTTTCAAATGATCTCCGCATTCCACTGGACCATCAATGTGACATCCTCTTGTTTCACTCTGTTGCATCATCCCACCCACCAGGCATATAGAGTGCCCTGGTTGGCCCACAAAGCAGATAAAGCTCTGTGATTTGTTCACTAAGCAGATAGAGCACTATGATTGGCCCACCGTTATGGACCAATCACAGCTCTTTATGTGTTTGAAACCCCTCTAGAGAGCTGTGATTGGCTAGCCAGAGTCCTGGTAGGAGCTGTGGAGGTTCCAATGGAGCATGCCTAGACCATTCTTTGCAAAGCAAGAATTTGGTCTAGTTCACTAGGCTAGCGACTCGTGGCAAAAATAGAATACAATTCTTTATCGGTGCGGCGTTCCACTTCTGGGACGCGCCTGAAAATTGCTGTGTCGCAGCTGGTTTGAATTACCCAGATTGACTTTAATGGATTCGGCTGATGCTTCCAGTGTGCAGTAGGCTTAAGGCTGAGTGTCAAGCGGGGAGGTATTGGGTCCCATTTTTTAAGGTCCTTGGTATGACCGAAACAGCATTCCTACTCAAGTGAGAGAAAGCTCAAGTTTTGTTACTTTCAAAAGACAATTGAAACTGTGGCTACAGGAAACTCAAAGATGCAATCATAGATGACACTTTTATTTGTTTTTACTCTGGTCTTTTTCATAAAATATGTTCCTGTTTTTTCTAAACGTATATTGTTGTCTGTCTTATCTTTTTTAACATTAACCTGCCAGAGGACTGCAGATGGAAATAAGTCAAGTCAAGTCAACTTTATTTATATAGCACTTTATAACAGCATAAAAGCTGACCAAAGTGCTTAACAAGACAAAAGAACAGAATTTCCTCAAAAATTCTAAAAACAGATAAAAAGTTCATCACAAGGTAAAATCATGATAAAACAAACATATCAAACTGACATAAAAGCTACTAAAAACAGATGCATTCTCAAACTGAATTAAAAGCAACTGAGAACAGATGAGTCTTTAAGAGGGATTTAAAACCCGACAGTGACGAAACCATCCTAATCTGAATCGGGAGTGCATTCCACAACCTTGGAGCTGCTACTGAGAAAGCTCTATCACCCCTGAGCTTTCTCTTTGTTCTCGGCACCTCCAGGAGAAACTGGTCGGCTGACCTCAGTGACCGAGACGGGGAGAGAGTTCCTAAAAGCTCACACAGATACTGCGGAGCAAGGCCATGTACAGCTCTAAAAGCCAATAAAAGAACCTTGTACTGGACCCTATAAACCACAGGCAGCCAGTGCAGCGAAGCTAAAATTGGGGTGATGTGCTCCTTCTTTCTCGAACCCGTCAATAGGCGTGCTGCTGCATTTTGCACCATTTGAAGACGGGACAGGTGAGACTGAGAAAGACCAAGGTACAGTGCGTTGCAATAGTCTAGACGTGATGTAATAAATGTGTGAATCACCGTCTCAAAGTCATGACTTGAGAGCAGACGCTTAACCTTGGCAATCCTCCTTAACTGATAAAAACTGGCTTTGGTGACGGCACTGATTTGCTTTTCCAGAAGCAGATCACTGTCCAGCCGGACTCCCAGACTGGTCACTACAGGTTTCAAGAAAAGGGCTAGTGGACCAAGGTCAGCAGAACATGGCCCACTGGACACACTAGGACTAAAAAGCATGACCTCAGTCTTGTCATTATTAAAATGTAAAAAATTTGCAGACATCCAGGTTTTAACCTCATCTAGGCAGTTTAGAAGAGGATCCAAAGAATTGGGTAGGCCACGTTTAATGGGAATATACCGTAAATTAGCCTAAGGCTACAATCTGGCGTGTTTACGGTTGTATTACTGTTCATAAATATGCAATGTCCTCTCTTTAAATAAAGTAAGTAACAAAAAAATAAAAACTGCAGATTTGAACTCCAGTCTCCCAGTCCCAGGGCAGACACGCACCACTAGGCCACTGAGAAGGTAAACAGTCCAAAGTTGATGCCAAAGTTCTTTCAAACAAGCCACCCGCCATCTTTGTTTCACTCTGTTGCAACATCCTGCCCACCAAACAGAGTGCTGTGACTGGCTAGAAACAAAACTGCTCAGTCCAGTGGTAGACCTGCCGAGGCTCCAATGGAGCGTGGCTAGACCGGCGTGCAGAGCAAAATCTTTTGTTAATGCTATGATCTTTCTAGATTTTTAAGCTAGGGTTTTCCAGGAGGAATTTCCTGTGTAAGGTCAAACGTCAGACGTTCTCCTTCAGGGTGTTCTGCCAGAAAGCAGAATTGATGTTTCCATTAGTAACAGCAAGTGGTCCGAAGCAGCAAAGCAGCTCTAGAGCATCACACTACCACCACCATGTCTGACTGTTGGTATCACTGTTCAGCACAAATGCTACTATCAGCATTAGCATTGAAGCCTCTGTCAATGTGCTCCTTGTCTACTTGTTCCTCATGCAGACCTCAACCGTAGTCTACATTCGCATTTTGGATGAGAACGATAATGCTCCAGTGTTTCCTGAGGAGGAGTACATCACTGTGCTAAGAGAAGGGCCAGAGACGGTGGGAGTCACCATCGCCACAGTAACAGCTACGGACCCAGATGAAGGCCTGAATGGAACGCTGCGATATGCAATCATTCGGGGCAATGTTTTTCAGACTTTTAGCATCAACAACGTCACGGTGAGACCTGAAAACTCTTACACTGTGAAGCTGTAGATGAACTGCTGTACAGATAATTTTTTGCTTATGTTGTTTGTATTTAGGGGAGAATAACTGCTGTCAAGGCGTTGGACTATGAGAGCAGTAATGGACACTATACGCTGGTGGTCACCGCTACTGACCAGTGTCCAAAGCCTGCTCTTCGCCTGACATCTAGTACAACAGTAATGACACAATCTTTATTCCAACCAGCTAAAAGACGGGCAACAATGTTTTTACTGTTGTCTGGGAGTTCCTATATGTTTTTTGTTGTTTGTTAGCAACATATCTACCACTGGACAGGTGTTATTGAAACTCAGACTTCGTTGGAAGTGCATCTATCTCATTCAATTCCAAGTGGTGCTCGCTGCAGAACCACAAAGGCGGAGCTGCACCAGAAGGTGGAGCTGCACCAGAGTCAGCCCCGCCCATTCCATCAGAGTCAGTCCAATTCCTTCCAGTTGTCAGACTTGATAGCATTCTGGAACCAAAGAGGGTGTTGTAGCTAAAAAATGCAAGATTGAGGACGGAGTTGAGAAGTTAACTGAACAGTTTTTGTAAAGGTTCCATATAATTAAAAATCTAACTTTTGGAACTTTTAATCATGTTATATTGTCATTTCCTTATAAGAAACACACCAAAGCCATTTTTGGCCTCATTCATGCATTTTCCTCCCATCTCGGCTTCCATTTGGTCTCCTCCCCCGAAGCGGGTCTGGTCTTGGTTCTCAAATCTGGATATTCTGCGAATTTTTGGACAAATAATTTCGAAATGACTTCTACTGAGACACCGCCAACAAACCATACATCCCATCTCCAAAGACACACTCGGTAGCACAATTACATGAAACACCACTTTATTTGATGTGGTGGTGTAGTGGTTATGGAGTCAGGTTGGCATGCAGTTTTGCGCAGGTTCGCCTCCCGGTAGCGGAAGCATTAGGTAGTTTACAATCCCTTTTCTTCATTTCTGGCTACACTTGCCAGTACTATGTTTACAACAATTTACTGGTATACCGTTTAACATATAATGACTAGTGTGTTTATTTATTTATTTATATGTTTATTTAGCCAGTGTGAGTTCGTTTGTTTAGGAACGACCAAATTCAAAGAACTTTTAGAGAATATAAACATTGCAACTAAAATATAAACAAATTAAATGTTTCAACTGACTAAATAGATTGCTGCCGACCCCACCGAGAATCGAACCAGCATCAGCTGAGGAGAAAGCAAAATTTAAATCAGACGATCTTGCCACTGGACCACCAGAACCAATACAATAGTCTTACATGCTGTTTTATCACACTTTTGTTAAAGCGGCTGTGGACAGATAGAAGAAGAAACCTTTTCATTTCGGGATATATTCAGGCTTTGTCATGTAGCAAGTTATATTTATCTTGTTTAATTGGATCATAGAACATAGCATTAACGACTGTAAACTAGTAACAGCCGTAATTCATGTGGGTCAGGTTAGTTTGCGCTAAAATTGAAAAACAAAAACGGAAGTCAGTGGGCTAGGCTGAGTTTGCGTGAATGGGCGGGGCTGACTCTGGTGCAGATCCACTTTATGGTGCAGCTCCGCCTTTGTGGTTCTGCAGCGAGCACCCTCTCTTCAATTCACTACCTTTCGTAATCAACCGTCACCAAGATGGCTGCCACAGCCTATATAACTTAGTAAATACCAACATGGCTGTCAGTTTTACAGATATTGAGTTGAAATGTCACATGGTAGTTCTTATGGAATGTGCATACCTTGAGACATTTGGTGATGCTGAACGTTATGATGTAAAACTCAGACATGAGTGTTTCATCAAACTGTGTTTGTTTCTCCTCCTAGGTGCTGGTGAACGTCATAGATGTGAACGATGTCACACCCACTTTCCCCAGAGCCTACGAGGGACCCATCGATGTGACAGAGGGCCAGCTTGGACCACGAGTTTTGACCCTTTTAGCCACTGATCAAGACTCTGGTCTTAATGGCCAAGTGGAGTACAGCATCACTGGTGGAGATATCCTGAGTTAGTATCAGAATGTGGGCCTGTAGTGGAATCCTAACCAGTACTTTCCATTTATTCTTGAACTTTCTTTATTTTTCTTTGTCAGATCAGTTTACAATTTCTCCGATGGACGGTGAGCTTCGAGTGAGGAAGGATGTGGAGCTGGACAGAGAGAGCATAGCCTTCTACAACATCACCGTCACCGCCCGAGACCTGGGAACTCCATCTCTCAATAGCTCGGTGAGGAGTTCACGTCAGTAGTCAAACGAAATCAGCTTTTACCAGATCCTCTTGAATAACCAGGAAACTGCAAGCATCACTTCTGTTTTTTTGTTTCGGCTTTCCATGTAAACTGCAGCGTTGTACTAAATTAGTTGTCTTACAAATCACATCTGATAGGTTGGTTCAATGAGTTAGATCCTATAGATGTTATTGATGTTGTCATTAATTATAAAGAAGACATTGTACTTAGTTATACTTTTGGGTTCTGCTGTAAAAATCTGTTTTGGTTTTATTCTCAGGTGGTGGTGGGCATTAATGTCTTAGACGTGAATGATAACGACCCAGTCATCCTTAACTTGCCTTCTAACACAAGTGTCAGTGAAGGCGCCGCGATATACACATCTGTGGCCCAGGTACAAGCCCGAGATGCAGATAGTGGACGTAACGCGCTGCTCACTTACAACATAACTGCTGGAAACCTGGATGGAGCCTTCTACATCAGCGAGACAGTAAGAGAAGTTAAAGTTACTGGCAGCATTTAAGCTTCTGAAGTAGAGATTTTATCACTTAACTTTTATCTAAACTCAATATTTATGAACTTGTACATCCTCGCTGTAACGCATGCTCAGTTGATTCTGGCCACATATCAGATTGCTCTTGGTAAGTCAACAGTCTGTGGAAACATGTAGTACTTAAAGGATGTGTGCAGATGACACTTCCTGTTTCTCTTGTGTGCTGTAATCAGACCTGACAGGAACAAAAATTGTTCCATTTGTAAACTGTAATAATAGACTAATATATCTTCTTCCCTTTTCTCTCTCAAATACTCAATTTGTCCAAAAACACGGGACAAAAATCTTTCAAGTCACGTTGTTCATGGTACATTGCAGGTTTCAGAACCTTTATAGTACTTCAGATTTACGGACTCGGCTACACCTTTTCCAGGTTCTAGAAGTATACAACTCTCACATTACTTATTTTTTACTTTGCATTTACTTTTTAAATTGGTAAATAAAAGAAAGCTAAGGTAGAAGAGTTGGATGTGTAGAAGGTCCTTCAGCAGAAATGTCCTTGAAATAGTGATTTTGCTTTAACTTTTATCAGTTTCTCACATCACAGAAGAAATCCTATCCTACTCTTCATTACACAGATGCTTTGGTTCATTGAGGTTCTCAGACATGACTGTTCCTCAGCTAGCTGAAGGTCCCACCTCAGGCTTTCAGTCAGGTCGGGCTTTGGTTGGACCTCCTTCCTCGTTCTGTTTTATGACCTAGTTTGGCCCAGTCACCTGTCAGACTGATGGACTCATAATATTATCACCCTGCAGGATAATTATGCAGATTTGTGACCCAATTCTTTCCTTCTGCCAATCTTAAGGATGTGCTTGATTACCGTAAAGGCTCTAAAGATAATCTTATCAGATATTCCCACCATGTGTGGTGTGCTAAGAGCGCTCGTCTAAACCGAGGTATGAACAAGCTTGTTCAATGTGAGTGTAGCCAATGTAATGTGATGAAGGTTCTCTAATTTGTGGCAAAGGTCACATTTACCCAGCTGGGTCAAGCTGGGTCAAACAGTACTTTTAAATCCACAGATTAACCCTAGGAGCGGCGATGTCTGCAAGATCACATCCATACCTGCTCAAGATCATATCACCTATCTGCTGCTGTTCCATCCCAGGAAGAGGACAATTCAAATCACGATGATAATAATTAGATAATAATTAATAAAACTCATTGATTTTATTACTGTTTAACATAATCTCATAAGTGATCACTTGGTTCTGTATAAAGGTATTTTAATTACATGAAATGAATTTATGCTTTGGCTATAATAATGATTATTATAATATTGATTATGATGACAGTAAAAGATGTGTTGAGCATATCAGAAGGTCAGTTCACCCTTATCCAGCTAACACAGAGCCCAGATAAACATAACTTCACACATGTTTGACGCATGACCAAAGCCTTCTTCCTGAGAGAGTGGGAGCGTCCTGGAGCTTGGTAAAACTGTCCATCCCCAGCTTCAGAGCGAGTTCTTGAACCAACACCACGGAGAAAGGGAAACGGCCGTCCCTGAATCTCCACCTGCTGTTCAGTCACGCCGACCAGAATAAGCCAAAGAATAAACGGACTGTAACCAGCTAACGAAGACTCTCCCAGAGTCATCGATTTCTGAGTTAAGTTAAAAGACGAAAAACTCCTTCAGAGTTACGGATCTTGAGACGCAAATCGTTCCACCAGTCGAGTGACCCAAGAAGACATCTCAGGACCGATCTGGTCGTGCTAGAGGTTTCTCTACCAACCTCATGCCTGGAGGAAACCCATCTCCACCTGGACACTTCAGATCCAAAACGGGGGTCTTCTGTTTGGGTGAGGTAGACCTCGACAGCATGTGTTTGATGCTGTTTTCTCCCTAAATAACTCAGTTAGCCTCAAAACATCATCTTCATCCAGACCGCTTCCAAGTCTCTGGGAAAGAAGCCAGGGATGTGTATTTTTGAAATTCTGGCGATACGATACATATCACGATACAGGGGAGATAATACGATATATCACAATATATTGTGATACATTCAGTCAGACGTTACAAGCAATTTTTTTTACTGAATTGATTGTAAGAATGTTTAATAAACAGTCCAAACTGATACGTAACATGTTTAACATGAAGTATCTGAACCATGATGGAGGGATTTACATTTCAGTGGTGGAAACAAAACCTGTTGCACACTGCTGCCAACTAGCGGGTGGCGATTGAATTGCGCAAAACGAAAAGAAAATACACAAATGTTTGCATGTAAATTCTTTCAGGAATTAGATACACAGCTTTTGAATATCGATGTAATAATCGCAGGAAAAAATATCACGATATATTGCCATATCGATATTTCCGATACACTGCTTTTGAATATCGATATAATATTGCTGGGAAAATATCACGATATATTGCCATATCGATATTTTCTTACATCCCTAAAAGAAACCTTCTCATAACTTCATCCACGCATCCAAACTCGTATTTTCCATTTAGCTTCCATTCAGGCACAGGTTTGCTTTTAAAACAAGTTTAATATCAAAGCTGTTGAAAATTGTCATTTAAATTGCCATCCATGAATTGTCATTTTATAATTTTCGTCTCAAATCTCTAAGTTTAAAATTGTAAGTAATAAATTTCTTCATTTTTAAACTTGCCTCCTTATTGAAACGAAACACAGAAAAGGTATAATATTTCTGGTTGTTGACAAGCAAAGATCCTAGTTTCTGATTCAAAATAACTTTTGCTATTAAATTTAATTATCTAAATTAAACATTAATCTTTGGATTTAAAATTTGATCAAGCAGGCTGATGTATGAACTTAGATCGATATATAAGTATCCGGGATATTTATATATGTGACATAAGCTTCATAGGTTAATCTGATTGGTCATTTTCGAAATCTCTACTGAATAGCAACAGAGGTGATTTCAGTGTGCAGATTAACTCTGCACCAATCAGAAAGAAAGATGACAGAAGCATGGTCTGTTTGGTTTGAATCTTTTCATTCCTGCTTTTCAACATTTTTGTATCTGAAAAAACAAGTATTTAAAATGACAATACTACTGACCTACATTTACTTTTTTGTTGTGATTCTGAACCGATAGATTTAAAATCATCTTATTGATGTTTATTAGTGCTGTTGTTTGTGGTTTTATGAATGTCTGGAGATGAACCTAATGTTTTAAGTGTTTTATATAATTACATTTATCACAGCTTATATTGATTTATTGTGAAAAAATATTATTAGCTTGTACACCTCATGTATTTCTCTGATAGACGGGTGTGGTGCAGGTGAACAGACCCCTGGACAGAGAGCGGGTGGCTGAGTACACACTTACCATCACTGTTAAGGACAACCCAGAGAACCCCCGCAATGCTCGCCGGGTAATCCCCTCACAAGCTTTTCTCACTAGTTCACTGTTTTGGCTCTTTGACAACACACACTGCTGCAGAACCTGCCTCTTTGAAGCCTTCTCTACAGTAGTTTGTCCTTTAGAGGCCATCCTGGATCGTTTTCCTGCTCTTTACCAAATATCATGCGGTTCTTCCACTCATCTCCACCTCATTTAGCTCAGGGTTGTCATGGATCAGTTGGAGCCCCCATTAGCTTATTTAGCTAATCAAATTTGTCCTTGAAATGTAACGAAAATAAACAACGGCTCATGAAGATGATGCAGTTGTTTATCCTTTGTCCCAAACCATCAGGACTCAGACTTCTTGATCATCACCATTCTGGATGTGAACGACAACAGACCTATTTTCACAAAGACCAGCTACAGAGGTGAAATCATGGAGAACTCTGCAGCAGGTAACATTCTCTTTTTTTCTCTTTTTGTATTTGCAGCACCTAGCAGGAACTCTGTAGCTCCATCTGCACCACTTCCTGGCTTTGTTTATACACAGCTCACACGTTTCTCTTTCATGTGTGACACTGAGTTTGACAGATCGGCACCTGTGTTTACGTCCCACGTTTAAATGTTTTGTTATCGTCGTTTACTTTGCACCAGTTTTTATCGAGGGAACCGGTGGAGAGGCCTAAAACAGATTAATGTCAATATTAGGATCATGACTGTCACTGGCATGTCAGAGCAACAAAGTGTTGACGACACCTTGTTGGTTTTGTGGACCTGATTTGAGGTCCAGCAGCTGCAGCGTTTTGGTCAGCTTCGAAACTTGCAAATATAAAATATAAATGTGTTTGTGTTGGATTAAAAACCTTCCTTGGTCTTCTGATCTGTGACTGTTCTTTAGGCAGCGTTGTAACCATTTTAAACGGCCCGGTTCTGGCTGAGGATAAAGACGTTGGGATTAATGCCGTGGTGACGTACCGACTCCTAGGTGCAAGAGTGGACCTGTTTACAGTTGACTCCAATACTGGTAAAAGGATTTCTCTAAAGAAAGTTTACGCCAGAGATCATGTGGAAAAGTGCAGTGAAAAGGCTCATGCTCTTCCCTCCAGGTGCTGTTCTCGTGCGTCAGGGCGCCAAATTGGATCGGGAAGCTTTTCAGGACCCTCGGGTGGAGCTGATTCTGGTTGCAGAGGACGTAGGAGGTTTAAACAGCAGTGTTCCCCTCACAGTCTCGATTCTGGACCAGAATGACAACCCGCCTGTTTTCAACCCATCCAGTTTCAGCGTTCGAATCCCTGAGAACAGCCCCGCTGGTGCGTTTAAGGCCTTGGGTGGAACCTAACTCGTATTTTATTATCAGCCACTACCACAAGTCAAAAAGTGGACAATAATGTTTGGGCCTGTGTGTGTTTGCTAAATCGTTCATGAAACTCTCAGAAACGAATCGCCAGTTATAAATCTCCAATTAATTTCCTTTTTGAGTCAGCCCAGCATAAGCCGGCTGCTATAGCTGATCTACATTACCAAAAATACAAAATGGGTTGGACTCGGTCAGTTTTCTTAGTCGCATTCACAACACACACACCACACACACACACACACACACACACACACACACACACACCAAGATCTAACCTTTGTGCGAGATCTTTGTGAAAAATATTTCCTAAAGTAGAAAAAAAAACATCTCATGCCTCTGGGCAAATTATCACAAATACATCCACAACTTAATACCTTTCCTATTCTATCAATTAATTCTAGCAAACTCACATTAACATCATCATCATCGTCATCTTTTTGGTTTAACCTTCTCAGTGGCCTAGTGGAATGTCTGCCGTTGGACTGGGAGATCAGGGTTTAAATCCACAGTTGGGTCATACCAAAGACTTTAAAAATTGGACCCACTGCCTCTTTAAGGGGTCGGACTGGGGGGTTAAACCACCAAATAGTTCCCGAGCGCAGCCACTGCTGCAGCTCACCGCTCCCCATGGAGGTGGGTCAAATGTGGAGATGTAATTTCACCTGTGTGTGATGACTAATGGGGCTTTACCATTAACTTTAGGTACTTTCCTCCAGCCAATGAATGACTCCAGTGCAGTACACCTCATAGCCATAGTATAAAATACCAAACAACCTCGTAGAAGGCCAGAAAACACTATAAACAGAAAATATAGCCAATATTTATAAAAGCAAGTATTGGGTTTCAAAGTTGATCTGGTTAAAAGGGGGGATTCAATTAAAAATGAGCAATAAAAAAACAATAAACATGCTAATAGCTCTCAGTTGACACCTGGCAGAAAAGCTTGAGAGTAAAAATTACTTTTCATTCTACTTTTAAAAGTCTGTAACGACAGTGCTTGTCTGACATCTAATGGGAGATGATTCCATAAAGTAATAACAAAGACCAAAAATGCTTGATCCCTTCTGGTCATCCATTGGACCGGAGGAACAACCAGACCATAGCAATGCAGACTTGGCAGGGACTTGAGAACAAAAACAAGAACTTTAAAATGAGCCAGAAAAACAACCGGAAGCCATCGCCGTGACTGCAGTAATGTTTGTGTTAACGAACGTGAAATTGGCTCAAACTCTTTAAAATTTAGAAATATTTAGCTGAAGTTTAGAAGTATAGTAGGCAAGTGTCACCTCCAGCACATACCCTAGTGCTACACGCGGTGTCAGACCTTTACTTGTAACTAACGTCTGGGAAATTTCATACAAATGTATGTTTATTTCCCTTTCAGGTGTGGTGGTGACTCAGCTGTCCGCCACCGATGCCGATGCTGGGTCTAACGGCTGGCTAACCTACCGGTTAGAAAGTGGAGCTCAGGACCGCTTTGTGGTTGACCCGCTCTCTGGTGCTGTCCTGGTAGGAAACGCCACGCTTGACAGAGAGGAGCGTGCATCCTACCGCCTCGTTGTGATGGCAACCGATCGTGGAACGCCTCCTTTGTCAGGAACAGCCACCTTGACTGTTCTCCTGGACGACGTCAATGACTCGAGACCGCGTTTTCTACAGCCAATAACTATAATAAATGTTAACGAGTCAACTCCACCTGGTGTGGTGGTGGCCACGCTTGCCGCTGAAGACCCGGATCTAAATCCACGGCTCGAGTACTACATCATCTCAGTGGAGGCAAAGGATGATGGGAACAGCCCAGTAAACGGCCTTCAGGATTCTTTTGGTATTGATTTACACACAGGTAGGACATGGGCTTTAACTCTCTGATGTAACGTTAAGTTGTAAATGTGCATAGATCACATTTTGGAGCATAAATACATGTTTTGGTGAATTTCCAGGCGCCGTCTTTGTGCGCAAACCAATCAACAGAGAGCTGGTAGCCACGTTTGAGATCATTGTGTCAGTTCACGACAACGCCAGTGACATTATTGACAAGTCAGTCAGTGTTCCCAATGGTAAATCCTTGTTCTGCTCATCTTCAGCCCCTGTATTCACCCATTACTTTGACTTTTTACATCTCTAATTTTGAGTTTTATTTCCACCCTTAGCGAAACTAACCATCAACGTGTTGGACGTCAATGACAATGCTCCTCAATTTCGGCCCTTTGGAGTGACCAACTTCACAGAGAAGATTTTAGAAGGGGCTCAGCCCGGCACAACGCTGCTATCCGTGTCCGCTGTGGATCCAGATAAAGGCCCAAATGGTCAGGTCACTTACCAGCTCCTCAATTTACCGAGAGGGGGGTATGTCAGACTGGAGGACCCTTCCGTTGGTATGACCATCTACAGTAAAACCAGAATTCAGTTTATTCCTGCTTCTCCTATCCCTCCTATAACGCGTTTCTTCAAAGTTTTACTATAAGCTTAATTCATTCTTATTACGTGATGTGAAACTGTATTTTAGGGAAGATTGTGGCCAACCAGACAGTGGACTATGAGCAAGTGCAGTGGCTGAATTTCACCATACAAGCTCAGGACCATGGCACACCTCCACGGAGCACCGAACTGCCCGTTTATTTACTCATAGTGGATGTCAATGACAACAATCCTGTCTTTCTACAGCCTTCCTATCAGGTAACGAGCACCAGTCTGCAGAGGAGTAACTAAAAAATTGGTCTCAATAGATTTTTTACTTTTACTTGTCTGTTACGCCACACGTGTTGCTCGTAGACCAAACAATACCAATTTTTAAAAGGTGTAGCGGAGGATGTCTTTCTGGAGTACACACCAGAGTAGGTTCTTTAAGTCTTGACTTGTTTGTGGGGGTTTCCCAGAGCCTGTTCAATTCATATATGTAGCACCAAGTCCCAAATAGAGTCATCTCAGGGAAACATTCCAATTGACTCCACTTATCAGGGCACGGAGGTCAGTTCATTATTCCGATTAGTTTAAAATTTCCCATGTAAGAAAACCCAACAGACTGCTTCACTTAACTTTACAGCAATCCCTCAGACCAAGCATGCATGTAGCGATAGTGGGGAGGAAAAACTTCCCTTAAAGCTGCAAAGGCAAATCTACAAACGAGCTAGGATTTAAACACAAACACGGCCACGGAATGCTCACCCCTCCCCTCGGGTGTCTTCCCTACATGGCCAGAGGAAACGAGACGGCGCTAAACACCAGTCGCTGTTTTCCACGTCCAAACGTCTTTTGTTGTCCGTGACTTCAAATGGTGATTTTCTTCTTTAGGACTCAGGTAGTTTGCCCTAAAGTTGAAGTGGTAGCAGCCGGCTGTTTCTCCTTCTCTGGTGTTATTGAGCAGAGAACCTCTCACACCGGTGGTGTTCTGTGGCTAAATGCACGAGTGTGTAATGAGTGGAGGACCCAGGGAAGTGCTGCGGTTTGGTGAGACAAACGACTGGCTGGTCCAATAGTTGCCTTCAGAGGTTTTATTCGCCGAGGTTTTTAGACACATGCAACAGAACCACTTTACTTTTTTCTTTTTTTATCTCCACCTGTTGCGTGAAGACAAATTAAAAGGAACCACACACGTTGTAGTAGCCTTGATGGAAGTGTTTCTGTTTGTAGGTGGCTGTGTTGGAGAGTGTGGCCTTGGGCACCAACGTAGTTCGCGTCAGAGCTACAGACGCTGATTCTGGACTCTTTGCTGTTATTGAGTACAGCCTCGTAGATGGACTGGGAAAGTTTAACATCAGGCCAACCACTGTGAGTTCATCGGATTCAGCACGAGCGTAACCACCTCTCGCTGTCACTTCTAAGTCACAACATGTCACAATTAATTCTTCCTCCCACTTTTAACCAGAACGCCTGATTTCAGGGTAGTGATGGTGCACACGGTGTTATTTTGTTATGAGTGAAAGATCTGTTTTAAACTCTAGTTTCTATAGAAAATGTCAGAAATGTTCTCTTCTGTGACCTCAGACAAAATATAAACACGCACTGACTGGAAAGAAATGGTCTGCCGTGTTTTGTTTCCTGCCTGGAAATGAAAGTCTAAACAAAACATTGGAGCATCCTCGGGCAGTCTACATATTTCAGCTCCCCTCTCCATTTCTGTCATAAATGCTGAGCCAAAATAATGCCGTGATACCACCGCCACTCCCAGTAAGTACTTCCTTCCTAATCATTCCTTCTCCTCTGCAAGGGAGAGATCTACATCCTGTCCCCTCTGGACAGAGAGACGATGGACCACTACACTTTGACCGCGGTTGCTCGAGACAACCCGGGGGGGAGTCCAAACAACAGGAGAGAAAATTCTGTTCAGGTAGAAATGTTGGTGTTCTCGTGTTTCCCATTGATCTGCTTCAAAATAAATCTGTTGCTGCTGCGTTGTAGCACAGTTGGTACCGCTGTTACCTCACAGCAAGAAGGTTGTAAGTTTGAATCCCTGTTTAGGCCTTTCTGCAGGGATGAATGAAAAAATAAATAATTTTTCTAACTGTATTTTTGTGTATAAACTGTATAAGAAGCGCAAAAGAGCAGGGACTATAAGATATTTAAAGAGCAAGTTCACTGAGAAGCAGTTATTTTTACTTATTTTTGTTGCAAGCAGGCTAAACCTGAAAATAGTCTTCTACCTTTATTTCCAACATCAGCAACTCAATCAATCAAATTTTATTTGTATAGCACCTTCTACAACATTATCGGAAGCCCAAGGTGCTGAACAACATCATTAAAAGAAAAACATTCCCAGTACATGGGCATAAAAGCAGGATAAAAACATAAAATCATAAAATATCAAGCAAACACTATTACAGATAAGAGATGGCGGAATAAGACTAATCGATAAAAAAACAAATGTCGGACAAAATAAAATCAAGCATCTGGGTTAAAAAGAAGAATAGTTAAAACCATAACGTTAGGGCAATTCAAATGACCCTAGCGCTGAAACGCAATCAGATAAAAATGAGTCTTTAAACGAGACTTAAAGACTTGAAGGGATGGTGCCTGCCTAGTGCTCAGTGGCAATTCGTTCCACAGAGTTGGAGCCAAAATAGAAAAAGCACGAGAACCCCTCGATCGAAATTTCGGCCGGGGGACCACCAGAAGTTCCTGCTCGGCTGAGCGAAGACACCGAGATGGAGCATACCTGTTCAAAAGCGCAGTAATGTACGAGGGGGCACTGCCCTGGAGGGCCTTATAAACGAGAGTTAAGATTTTAAACTGAGCTCGATATTTTACCGGGAGCCAGTGCAGAGCAGCCAGCTCTCAGAAACTCAGAAATAGACGGAGAGATTCTCAGATTACAAAAGCCACTCTGTTAAAAAAAAAAATAGCATTCGTGGCCTCGCCCATCTTGGCTCGCGACGGAGAACGCAGCAGTTGGTTTAGCGTCCAGCGTTGGGTAGTAGAAGCTAACCGGTATAGTTAGCAACTCCACACGGCAGAACTCCTTCAGGCTTGTGTTATTTGTGGAGATAAAACATCAATGTTGCAGAGCGAACACTCAGTGGTAGTCATGTTGCTGTTAGCCAATCAGAGGAGAGGTATCCAAATATCATGAAATTAAGCTCCACATCTGCTCACCTCTCCTCTGGCTCGTTTCTAGGTCCTGAAATAAGAGCGCCAGAGCTTTTTTCCCCCACTTATAGATCAATTCACAAGGCATTCCTTTGTACTAGAAACCACTGATCATGTGTGAACTTGGTCTTTAAGCTGGCTTGTTATGGTCGGTCGCCATGGTAAACACGAGTGTGTCCTAACTATGATTTTAATAAGACGGGTCAACGGAGTCAAATTTATCCCTCCATCCATTTTCTTTAGCCGCTTATCCCCGCAGGGTCGCGGGCGGGCTGGTGCCCATCACCAGCTGTCTCCGAGCATGCAGGCGGGGTACACCCTGGACAGGTTGCCAGTCTAGGGCAGGGCAACACAGAGACACACACAGGACAAACAACCACACACACACTCGCACCTAAGGACACTTTAGAGAGATGACACGGTCAAACGATCTTAAAGAAAGTCAGAGCTGATGGCCAGACAACCAGGAATCCGTTAGCTGTGAGGGGCACACTTTGGGTGAAAGAACTCCGAACTGCCCACACGTTTCTGAAACATTTCATCGGATCAGACGTTAAAGAGTGCATGACATCACCACGTTCAGTTTATTATCTGGTAAAATCTCCCAAAATCGTAACATTAAAGTCCTATTAGTCAGCACACGCTGGTGAAATTCATCTCCACATTTGACCCATCCATGCGGGGAGCCGCAGCTCTGGCTGCGCTCGGGAACTAATTAGAGTTTTAATCCCCACAATCCAACCCCTTAAAGCGGAGTGTCAAGCAGGGAGGCATTGGGTCCAGTTTTTTCTTTTGAGTCTTTGGTACGACCCGATCTCCAGTCCCAGGGTGGACACTCTACCACTAGGCCTCTGAGCTGGTCAGTGCAGTTCTGTAAAAAACAACAACAACAACAACCTTTCTGTGACTCGTTTACATTCTGATTGATGAAGTGAAGTCTAACAGATTTTCTGTCTCCTGTCCTGAACTCTGACCTCTAATCTGTGTTCTTGACCTGTCAGGTTCTGGTCACAGTTCTGGATGTCAACGATTATCGGCCACGCTTCACGGCCAGTGTGTATAACACCAGTGTGTTTGAGAACGAGCCCAGCGGGACGTCCGTGATAACGGTCTCTGCCGTTGACCTGGACGAAGGACAGAATGCCGTGGTGTTCTACAGCATGTTCGGACCAGGTTTAGGTACGAACGTGAAATCTAGAACTGGTGGAAAGAGTGAGGGCTTGTGTGGAGCACTGTTTTCTCTTTGGGTTTTTAGATACATTCACCCTGGATCCAGTCACGGGACTGGTGCGTTCTCGCCGTCTGCTTCAATCGTGGGAGCGCTTCAATTTTACCGTGGTGGCCACGGATCAGGGACGTCCTCCTCTGTCGGGCACTGCAGACCTGATCATCATCGTCATAGATGTGAATGACAACAGACCCGTGTTTGTCAGGCCAGCTAATGGAACCATTATCCACATCACTGAGGTATCTACGTCAGCTGGATGTTTCTAGTCATATCTATAAATGCTCCCTCACAACATTCAGGCCCTGTCCACACGTAGCCGGGGATCTGGCAAAACGTAGATATTTTTCTACGTTTCGGCCTGTCATCCACACGAAAACGGAGTTTTTTCACACGAAAACGGATCTTTTTAAAAACTCCGGCCAAAGTGAAGATCTGAGTTTTCTCCGTTTTGGGGGTCTGCGTGTGGACAGACAGAACCGGAGTTTTACGGTCCGCAACGTCACTTTCCACGACTAAAAATGCTGACATCACGTGTGCGACCTGTGTTTACACTAGCCGACAGCATGGATGCCCTCAGAGCTGCGCTCGCTTTATCAATTGTCCAAGCGCTTTCTGCTTGTTTGTTTTTGCAAGCGGAATTACTGCTCCTTGTGGAAGACCACAGACGGAGGACGAGGTTAAGAACGGGGGAAGTACTGCCGCCTACAGGTCTGGCATGTCCTTAAAGAGCAAGTCACCCCTTACAAGAAGCGTACTTCACTCCCACTTCATGTTTGAAAAATGCAACAAATGCTGTTGCCTAGCAGACCGAGAGGGTGGAGCCACTAACAAATACACACACTCACGACATTGTGACATCATAATGTACCAGTTTACATCATAGCATACCTCTTAGCCAATAGCGGTGGCAGATTTAAATTCAAATGCAGTGAAGAGTTTTTACCTGACAACGGCACAACACTGACAGTTTTAGGCAGAAATTTTAAATTTTAACTAAAACGCACTAAAGTGCAAAACTATTGACTACACGTGTCTGCAGCATGATTAGACAAGCATTTATATAGTTTATCAGAAAAAAATAGTTGATTTGGGGGTGACTTGCTCTTTAACAACGTATTTATCCGGGTACGTGTGGACAGAGGTTTTTTTTAAACGAGGTGGTGTGGATGCAAGTTTTTGGAGGGGCGGATATTCGTTTTTTAAAAACCCCGGCTACGTGTGGACTAGGCCTCAGCGAGAAAATAATCACTTTTCAACACGAAGCTGTTTCTTTGTCTTGGAAATTGTTTCATGTGGAAAAGTCACATCCTTAGGTGGCCGTGTGACCACTGTATATTACGTCCTGTTTCGTCAGATCCAAAGATGGTTTTGTTGTGACTTGTGATTCAGACGCAAGCTGCTTGCTCTTGCTAATGGAGCCCAGAGGGCGTTTCCTGGCAGAAGGTTCAACAAACTCTTGACCTATCCGTTAATTCTGAACTTACTTACACCAAGTGGGAGCACGAGCCAATAAAAAGCCATCATCACTAGATCCCTTCATTCACCATGGCAACTGCAGTGGTATAGAAGAAAACCTCCTGCCACGGCTGCAGGAAGTCCTCCTTAAAGGGGTCCTACAAGTCAAAACCACAGGGTATCCGCGGGTCCTTAAAAAGTCTTAAATTGGCTTTTCCGAATTTAAGGCCTTAAAAATCCTTAAAAATGACAAATAATCCTTAAACAAAGTTTCCAAAGGTCTTAAATTACCAAAGACCCCAAAAACACAATTATTTTGTTTCTATTAAATTTTGTGAATTTCTAGTTAGTATTCAGCATTTTTTGTGTATGAAATTGGCATAAGCAGAACCGTACACATTCAGTTGGTTGTGAAAGGGGACCAATTTTAGATGAGCACATTAGCTGGTTAAGCTAGTGGGAGCTTGTGCCATGGGGAAGTGCAAGTTTAATGGTAACTGGATGGCTAATCCCACTTTTGCAATGTGGTTAGCACCGGTTCCGGGCAATAGCTAGAAATTATAGCTTAAATTTAATTTCAAAAGTAGCTTAAATTTGGTCAAAGTGGCCTTAAAAAAGGTCTTAAAAAGTCTTAAATTTGGCTACCTTAAACCTGCAGATACCCTGAACTACATTTACCTTGTTTTTGGGTATCAAACGCACCAAAACGCATGCATCGTCTCCGATCTAATGTTGTAATGGCGGGTACAACACATCATAAGCATAGAAACATCACCTTAAATTTGTATGACCCAACCCGCTTTAACATTGGCAGTACACGAATGTTGGTGGCAGTAATGCTAACCCCGAAACAACCGCCCAAGCTTCTGCTAACGTCCTTTTTCAGATGAGAGGAAAACAACAAAGAAGAATGTTGTGTAAGTACGTCCAGACTTTAAATGAAGGCCAAATAGATCCATAGCTCACCTACTGAGCTATCCGGATACTATACACAGAGTCAAAGAGCCATCAGGGTAAACCGGCCAATCAGCACAGAGCTCGTTAATGGTTATGTCCTGGCCGAGCTGGCATGATGAGCCAGTCTCTCTACTGCAGGGCTTTGTTATGGCCGGGGCTCCTGGTCCATGTTCAGCCTCTAAAACATTTCATGTGACATTGAATTGACATAAACCCCCTTTTACTGTCCCGCAGGAGCAGCCTCCAGGTATACCGGTCTACGAAGTGCATGCTACAGACGCTGACGCTGGGTTGAATGGAGAGGTCCGCTACGCCTTCTTGCCGACAGGAGCGGGAAACAGAGACTGGGAAAATTTCCACATTGATCCCATAACTGGGGTCATCACCACCACTGTGAAGCTGGACCGAGAAAAACAGGCCATTTATAGCGTGAGTCAACTGCTTCTTTGCAGATTCGAGATTCAAAATGATAAAATTACACATTTTAACGGTGGTAAACATGACCCCCCCCCCCCCCCCCCCCAGCTTATCATTGTGGCCCGTGACCTGGGTCAGCCGGTGCCTTATGAGACCACACAACCTCTGCAGGTGGCGCTGCTGGATATTGATGATAATGAACCTGTCTTCCTCAAACCACCAGTGAGTGTTGACTTTTAATCTGAAAATAAACATCCAAGTTGTTTACATGATGTATTTCATGCTTTACTCTTGCCTGTGAACACTACAGCCTGGTGCCTTGCGTTACCAAACACTGACGGTGCGTGAGGAGTCTCCTGCAGGTACCGTGGTGGGTAACGTAAGCAGAGCTGTGGACGCAGACGAGAGGTCCAATGCCATCGTCTATTATTTCATCGCCGGTAATAAAGTCTCCATGAAACACGTCTACATGCTGCATGTTTTGAATAAAATAGAACTTTTATGTCCATTCAGATTAGCACACACTTCTTAATCCTCTAGATCAGAGAGATAATCTGCCCACTGTGTGGGACACTGGATGGTGAGATGGTGTTTCACCCTCCCCACTCTGTGCATGCCAGCTGCTGCTCACTGGGCACCTGGTTGTTACAACAACAAGCTTTATGACCTCCACCCCTCGGGGACCCTGGACCCTCACAGCACCAACCAGTTTATTGGCTGTCTGGTAACTCTACTGCAGACCCTCTGTAACCAGACCAAACTGTACTACTGCTGACACGTCAAGAAAATGGTAAATGGTAAATGGCCTGTATTTGATCTAGCGCCTTCTAGAGTCCTGGAGCCCTCCAAGGCGCTTTACAACACAAGTTATTCACACACTGGTGGCGATGAGCTACGATGTAGCCACAGCTGCCCTGGGACGCACTGACAGAGGCGAGGCTGCCGAGCACAGGCGCCACCGGTCCCTTCGACCACCACCAGCAGGCAAGGGGAGTTAAATGTCTTGCCCAAGGACACTACGACAGCGACAAACTGAGCGGGGCTCGAACCTGCAACCTTTCAATTTCGGGGCGAGCACTTGGCTCATGTGCCACCGTCGCCCCAAAGAACAGAAAGAAAAGAACAGCTCAATGCCCCAAACAGCTTTTGATAAATCGGATGAATGATACTCATCCCCAGAATCCCAGAACCAATATTAGACGTTTAACCACAAAATGGAAGCATCTTGCCATATAGATTGGCGTTCAGCTCCAAATAGCCAGTGTATGGGATACCAAGACCATTACACCAGCTCTCTGTGAATGTAGAGGCCATGTAACCGGTATCAACCAAACAAGTGACAGTAGCACCCCCATTATTATTATTACAATTGACCTTTTGCACGTGGGTCCACCATATTGGGCGGCAAAAGAATACAAAACAGTGAGCAAAATGAGTATTGAACAAAAGTAACGTCTTGTTGGTGATCTTTAGCCTGGCTGCTTCTAGTTCAAGTCCATTTCAGTTATCAGAAGAAGTAACTGAATTACAGGTGGAAGGAGCGGAAGAAAAGTGGCGACAGAGGTTGTTTTTCCAGTTTGGCCTGGTTTCAGCAGGTTCAAGTCCAGTTAACCTGTGGGATGATTGGCACATCTAGGTGGGCTCATAGAGAGCAGTATTTACAAAAGTTACGAGTTAACTAGTTTACGGACGTTAGCTTACGTTCTCCCTGCTGCTGTTCACTGGCGTAAACAAGTCGCTTGGTTGTTGAGCAGACATAGTTCAACCACCCACGCTATAGAGCTCCGGACCCCACGTGACTCTCAGTTAGTGGGCGCCATTTTGGCATGCAAAAAAGGTAAACAAACACGGATGTAACCATGAACGGGATCCGCTTGGATTTTACTTCGTCGGAGTCGAACGGTTTAACGGTTTAAGTACCTGATATGAAGTGGTCGCTGCATAAGTGAAAACCTTTACTCTCGGGATCCCACAGCTTCATTTTCGCCCGGTCACTAGCGCGTTTCATTACAATGATCCAACGTTTGCGGCGCTCCGGATCTTGGGGAATCCTGTAGATGGCTCATTCCTTATGTCGTCCGCGTCTGTTCTGCATCCTGGGGCACAACAGGAATCTACCATATTTCCCGTTTGATTGAGTTTTCTGACAATAACAAATAGTCCAGCTGCCGGCTTCTGCCTGCCAAATGGCGCCGTTTTGATTTGAACTGTTGCATGCCGGGAGAAGTGACGTCAACTCCCGGAGCTCTATACACATGCAAAACAACTCACTGGAAACCAAAACAAAATTAAACACTAACAAATTAATAATGCAGCTCATGCACAACAAATAAAAATAAATGAAAATACATAAATTATTAATAGATACCGGGCAGGCCCCCAGCCCTGAACCTCATTACCGGTGAGGTGGGCAATTATGTTCTTGCTGTTCCAGCTGTGGAGCTGGCGTGGTACACACTGATCCGGCGAGCCAGAAGTTTCTTTGATACGTTCTCAGAGCAGGGCCAGACTGCACCAGACAGGACAGCAGAGTGTCCTTGCACGCTGAGCAGCAGAAGAACAGAGACACACAGAGGCAGCGATCCACCTCACAATGCCCCTCAGTCAGGTGGCTAATGTGCAGCACCTGGCATGCACAGGGTGGGGCGGGTGAAACACCATCTCATCGCATCAAGTACTTCAAAAGCTTGAGAATAATACAACATTTTTATTCTCAAAGGAGGAAACGACGATGGAAACTTTGGCCTAAGTCTAGGAGGAGAGCTGAGGGTGCTCAAAGTTCTGGATAGGGAGATTGTTCCAGTGTACACCATCATCATCAAGGCTTCCAGCAACAAGAGCTGGACTCCTCCCAAAGGTCAGAGGTCTTTACAAGCCAAAGCCTTGAACCCAGCTCTCGACCCGAGTCTGCTGGAAGTCCGAATTGAACTGGAGGACATCGACGACCAGACGCCACGCTTCACTAAGGCTGAATACACCGCAGGTGATTCATGTTGTTGCAGGTTTGTGTGAAACCATTAGGAATCTTTCCCGTTTGCTCTTGTTCCAGGAGTTGCAGCGAATGCCAAAGTGGGATCAGATCTCATCAGAGTGCTGGCCATCGACAACGACATTGGTAACAACAGCTTGGTTCAGTATCATATCGTCACAATCCGCTACTTCCAGACCCAAAGCAACGGCAGTGAGGATGTGGGCAACGTTTTCACCATTGGTGCGGCTGCTATTCACACCCAGACTCTAACTTTAAACTATCCAGCAGCAGCTGCTAGACCAGTTTCCTTCTCTGTCCACAGGTTTGTCAGATGGAGTTATTCGCACCTATGACCTCTTCACGGCTTTCAATCCTGGCTACTTTCAGCTTGAGATTCTAGCCTGTGACCTTGCTGGACACAGTGCAACCGCCAACGTGAACATCTACATCCTCCGAGACGACCAGAGGGTCAAGATAGTCTTTAACGAGATACCTGATGTTGTTCGTAACAACAAGGAGGACTTCGTTAAGCTGCTGTCTAACATCACTGGAGCCATTGTTAACCTGGATGACATCCAGGTTGGGCTTGTGTGTGTTACTGCTTCTTCTGCTTTTTTGTTCCTGTTTTTTAATGATATTTTTTATTGGCTTTTATAATATTTAGTTCCACGTGGACAAAAAGGGCAGAGTGAGCTACGGTCAGACGGACATGCTCATCCATGTAGTCAACAACCAGACCAACACCATCCTCAGCGTTGACAGGTCTTCTAGTTTTGTGCTTTTACTACAGTTACCCAGTGTGTCATCCACTCGGTCATAATTACTTACGTACTCCGGTTATCAACGGTCCCATTTACTTGGTTTTCCAACGAATCTGCTGTGGTCTTTAGTATGAATGAATCCCTTAAGCTCTGCAGCACGAGTTTTGGTGTTAGAAGTTAAGCCTCCCGTCCACCTGACGTGAAAGCATCGCTAAACGGGCCGCGAAACATACTTCACGACGGTGTCGGTACAGGATCTGCTCGGGTGCAAGATCGGCTCGGGGTCCTTCGACTGCCGATGACGTCAAAGTACGGCAAACCCACTCGGACAAAATACACTACACATCTATACTGTTGGAAAGAATTTAGCAGTTTCGTTATTAAAATAATGTTTCTTACGACGTAAGTTTGTGTTTATAATGGTATTTGTAAAATAAAACACTATATTTTATTCATAATGTTGAACTCCTCTTTGAGCACATCCCTTGAAGGATCATAGGTATTAGCAACACCTGTGAAATTGTATTTGCAGGAAAGAAGTGTGTCCCGTTTATTGAAGTATTTTGTGTTTAGAGTTTTTGACGTCTTGTCCATGCGTAGTTCAGTTACGCTCATAGCTGCTAGCCAAAACTCTGGAGTAAAAAGTTTTCTGGCTTTACTAAAATTCCTGTCTGTACTTATTTGATTGATGGTAGTTTTACTTTCTATTAGACTCCAAATGTAATCATTTGGCACATTTCTAATTCATAATTTGTAAGAATGTAATCGGCGATATTAGCATTAGCATTCCTATGGGTTTTTCCACGTATATTAGCATTGCGCTAACCACTCGCTGCCAAATTGCAGCCTTTGCGATTAGAAAATCTCCTTTTGTCACATCGCAATTTAATTGCACATGCAGTTAATCGTTCAGCCCTAATATACATGCAGCTCTATGCTAAAAGTGTATTTTCAAAGAGGTAATGATGGATTTCTTTGTAAAAGTTGTCCATCTTTCCAACAGAAAGATTTGCCTGGACCAACGTAACGTGATTGCGTAATTCCGTAAGGTTCATGTTCAGCCAATCAACTACTTTGACGTCATCGGCAGCCGACGGACCCCGAACCGATCTTGCACCCGAGCAGATCCTGTACCGACACTGGCAGTCGGCTTTAGTGGACGGGTTCCTTTCTACCGGTGGTTAAGTGTCCCAGAAGCGAAGGGATGCCATCTTTACATTTAGAGTATTTTTTTTTATGTGATTTGCTTCCAACACTTCAAACCCCACAGTTTAGATCGGGCCAGACAGGAAGTCAAACACGAAAGCAGCGTAAAACATCTGGAAACTTTCAAAATAAAAGTTACACGCAGATAAACGTACATAGTCGATCTAAACGGAACAGAAACTGAACCGAATATCTTTTTGGATACATGCAGCGACCTCTCTCCCTGTTTTTGTGTGGACTTCTGAAATCAGGCGTGGTGTTGAAATTTTCCCGTGACTTTGCTGGGCCAGTGGCGTGGAACGCTTTCGTTTGTGTTTCGCGTCTGAAAGGCTCCCGGTTGGAAGTGAGCTTGCGGTAAAACGCAGCTATTGCGATGCACGCCGCTTTCACGTCTGGCGCAAAGGAGGCTTCACTCAGAGGGGTGGCGGGGCAGAAGAATGACTATTATGAGTTTTACTCGTTGATATGCAAACATTTCTCCTTGGACTGGCTAACAGCAACGCCGCCTTTGTTCACCCTTCTTTCTTGGGTAAAAAAAAAACAAATGCTACGTTGATGTTTTATCTCCACAAACACAAGCCTGAATGTGTTTCACCACATAGTGGAGTTGCTAATGGTTAGCTTCTACTAGCATAGATGTTCTCTGCTGCCTCCCGGCCACAAAATCAACCCAGCCTGTTGCATTCCCAAGGTGAGCGGGGCCATGAGTTGCACATTTCCCTGCGACTTAAAAGAATCTGGCTTTTGCTAACCCGATCGTTCTCCCGCCTATTTGCGTTCTGTGCCTAATGCAGGAGAGGATGGTTGAAGGAAATGTTCATGTTCAGCATAAATATGCAGCTCAGAACGTATCGCACGGTTTCTCAGAAAACAATGTCTTGTAGTGCAGTTGGTGGACCTTAGCTCTGATGTTTCTCATTCTGCAGAGTAATCCAGATGATTGACGACAACAAGGAGCAGTTGAGGAGCTTGTTCAGGACGTACAGTGTTGTGGATGTTCAGCCTGCTGTTAGTGACAAAATGCCTGACGACATCTCCACCCTACAGGTCTGCAGAGCGGCGTCCACACGATGTGATTTTGTTGTGGTGGCTTTCAGCTCTCCTTCCATTTCCCTCTTTCACAGCTGGTCATCATAATCCTGGCCGTGCTGCTGTGCTTGGCGGGAATTTTGTTTGTGACAATGAACTGGCATTACCGAAGAGTGTGAGATATTTTTGTGCTTGCACATTTCCTTTGGAGAATCAGTGTTGTAGACTCCTCTCGTTTCTCTTGCGTTGCAGACATGAGAGGAAGCTTAAAGCGATCGTTGCAGGTTCAACAGGTAGGAAGGCTGCCTCAGTGACAGACGGGGCAGTTTTTTAGAATCTGGCTCGTGTTTCCGTTATAGTTATTACCTTTTTAGTCATTGCTTCCTGAAGTGTAGGAGGGGACTGATAAACTTGTTTTTCTTACCATACAGGAAACCAGGGTCTAATGGACATCCTGGACATGCCCAACACTAATAAATACTCTTTCGAGGGGTAAGGTAACACTTAAAGAGCAAGTCACCCCCTACAAGAAACTTACTTCACTCCCACTTCATGTTTGAAAAATGCAACAAATGCTGTTGCTTGGCAGACCGAGAGGGCGGAGCCGCTAACAAATACACACACACACAGGCTCACAATGGCATTATGACATCATAATATACCAGATGACATCATAGCATACCTCTTAGCCAATAGCGGTGGCAGATTTAAATTCAAATACAGTGCAGAATTTTTCCCTGACGACGGCGCAACACTGCCAGTTTTAGGCAGAATATTTAAATTTTAACTAAGATGCACTGAAGTGCCAAATTATTGACAACACGTGTCTGCAGCACGATTAGACACTCCTTTATATAGTTTATCAGCAAAAAAAAAGTGATTTGGGGGTGACTTGCTCTTTAAGTAACGGGTTCAAGATAAAAAGCAAAGTACTTTATTTACCTGTAGTTTCTGTGATGTCATCAGAAAAACTATTATAACCTCAGAAATAATACATTGCTGTTTGTTTGTTTCCAGGCTTTTGTTACGCAAAGCTCAGTTAACTGTAGGGTGAACTTTTCTTTAGTTTGTTGCAGCCAATGAAAGCCTCCTCCATCTTATAACGTTCTGCTGTCATACAACCCAGAGCTAATCCTGTGTGGCTGGACCCGTTCTGTCGCAACCTGGAGCTAGCTGCTCAGGCCGACCACGAGGACGACCTTCCCGAGAACCTGAGTGAGATTACTGACCTGTGGAACAGTCCCGCACGCACTCATGTCAGTACCAACATACATCTTTTATATCCCCCTGAGCCATCATTGCTCATGTGGACACACTCAGAGGTGCCTCCATACCATGTGTACATTGTCTTTACAGGGCACCTTTGGTCGAGAGCCTCAAGCGAGGCCTGAGGATGATCATTACTTGAGGGCAGCCATTCAGGAGTATGACAACATTGCTAAACTGGGCCAGATTATGAGAGAAGGGCCTATTAAGGTGAGAACTCTAAAAGATACACTGGGTGTGTCTGAGGCCCTGTCCACACGTAGCCGGGGATCTGCCAAAACGTAGAAAAATATCTACGTTTTGGCCTGTCATCCACACGAAAACGGATCTTTTTAAAAACTCCGGCCAAAGTGAAGATCTGCGTTTTCTCTGTTTTGGGTGTCTGCGTGTGGACAGACAAAACCGGAGTTTTAAGGTCCGCAACGTCACTTTCCACGACTAAAAATGCTGACATCACGTGTGCGACCTGTGTTTACACTAGCCAACAGCATGGATGCCCTCAGAGCTGCGCTCGCTTTATCAATTGTCCAAGCGCTTTCTGCTTGTTTGTTTTTGCAAGCGGAATTACTGCTCCTTGCGGAAGACCACAGACGAAGGACGAGGTTAAGAACGGGGGAAGTACTGCCGCCTACAGGTCTGGCATGTCCTTAACAACGTATTTATCCGGGTACGGGTGGACAGTTTTGTTTTGAAACGAGGTGGAGTGGATGCAAGTTTTTGGAGGGCGGATATTCGTTTTCAAAAACCCCGGCTACGTGTGAACTAGGCCTAGAATCCAGAGGTTGCATCCTTCCACGTACTCAAGGCCGATTACGTCACAGCAAAGTGACAAGGCTGTCCAGATTCAAAGGACACTCAGAATCACTCTTCGAATGCATCCCCCAAATTTTCTATACGGGCCGGGTGTATCCTCATCGGTAAAGACTCTCCCAGGAGTCATTGTAATAATGGCGGCTGATGCTGGATAAGATTAGTTTTAAGTGTTTGTGTTTTATAAGCAAGCAAATAAGTATGGCGCATCCTGTAGTTCTTCATCTATTATTGCTAAGTTAGTTTTAACTTCAGATCAACACTATCGTGGTTGCACGACGAAGATATGCGCTGGAGTAGGGGCAGGAATAAATGTGAAGGCTAGCCGCTTTTTTTCTGGTCTTTGCAGTCCAGGACCCGGCCAGGAAGGGTCCTCACGTCAGTAAATGACAGAGATAGAAATTACCAAATGTACCTACTTACAAACGGCAAGAACAAATAACACTGGACTGTCCCTTTGGGACACCAGGTGTGGGCAAAGTTGCTCATTATGATTTACTGGAAATCGCGACGGTATCAAATGAGATTACCTCCGTATGTAGGACAGTGTCAACAGGAATCTCCTGTCAGAGAGTTAAATCACCGATACTTACGACTCCGCTCAGATGTGGTCGTCCTATCGATGTTCGCTCAAAGCTAGCAAACATTCAGGCTCTGAATGTTTAAGGACACTAAGCTGTTTCATGACAAATCTCAACACCCAAACCTACTTCTGTTTACAATCATTCAGACGTAAACGGTGTGAGGTGTGGGACGGTGAGTGAGTCAGGATGTGTGAGGTAGACTGTCTCCTAGATTCTGTTTGATCCCGACTGCCATCCTGTCAGGGCTCCCTGCTCAAGGTGGTCCTGGATGACTACCTGAGGCTGAAAAAGCTCCTGGCGGCGCGGCTCGTCACCGCGTCCCACAGCCAGGGGGATGAGTCATCAGTCACAGAGGTGGGCCAAGAATAATCGGGTGATCTGTTTGAATCTGCTGCTGCAGCTTTTCTGCTCGTCTCCAAGATCACGTTCTAAATTCCTGTTTCCTGTTCTGATGCAACTCCTGCCCCTTCACCACCTTGAATCTGACGTGAATGCTTCCTACTTTCTGTTTGGAATGGTTTGCCTTCAACTGTCTGGTGTGGTAATAATTCACTATTTCTAATCAGATTCTTTGTGGTGTCTGCTTCCTAAAGCTCATCCAGAGTGATCTGGACGAGGAAGAGCATCTGGGCATGGTTGGCGATCACAGCCCTCTACGCTTTAAGCACAAGCTTCCTGTGGAGTTGAAAGGGCCCGACGGTGTGCACGTGGTCCACGGCAGCACTGGCACTCTCCTGACCTCTGACCTCAACAGCCTGCCAGAGGACGACCAGCGCGCCTTGGCACGCTCTCTAGAGGGTCTCAATTCTGACGGGGGGTTGTATTCGGAGCGAAACGCCCGCACAGAGTCAGCCAAGTCCACCCCGATGCATCGCCACAAGGACGGCGACTCGCTGTCCGAGAACCCGCTGGAAGTCACAGAGTTATGACTAGCCGAGGCCTCGCTGGTCTGAGAGCAGTCGCGGCTCGTGTGTGTCTTCGTACCTCCACCGCCAACCTGGGACGAAGGGCAAGAGGAGTGAGTGCAGTCAGAGGAACTTCATCAGCCAAACTGAGCGCGTCAGCAAAACACCCTGCAACGACGACGCGCTCGCCACCGCGCTGGCTTGAGTGGAAGATGGTCACGCTACAAAGCTTCAAGAGGCTTATTCCAACGTCCTTTAGGCAACTGCAAGCCGCGCCAGCATCTTTAGAACGTCACCGAAACATCTCGGATGTTCGTTCAAAGAGCAGAGAGGGAACGAGGCGGCTCATCTTCTTTAATCCTTTCAAAGTCATGCCTGGACTGCAGACACTCACTAACACACACACACACACACACACACGTATGAGTCAGACCAGCTGGTGGCCACTGAGACGCAGAGAAGAAGAAACAATCAGAATGATGTAGAAAAAAGGTTTGTTCACAGTGGGCGAGGTGCTTAGTGTGGACGTGAAGGTCATCTTCATGTCTGGAAAACAGAATTTTATTTAGACGTAACAGATTTTCTGAGTGATGATTAAAAACGCGACGATGGGAGGCGTCCTCCTGTTTAAAGTGAAAATAAAACTCTAATCTGACGCCAGTGACGTGGGATTACGTCAATTAGGAATCAGACTTTTCTAATGACTGAAGGATTTTTTGTGGTGAAATTTAAAACGGCACAAAAAAGATGAACTGTTTTTACAAACCAAGATGGCGACGTGCCCCCCTGACTTCACACTGCCACATGGGGGGGGGGGGGGGGGGGGGTAAATCTCATGCTCAAAATATGGAAGTGAGGTTATTTTTAAACCAGTCGAGGTAAGGATTATTGTCGGTGTGAATATGTTGTTCTATGGTGAACGGTGTCTGTTGAGTGGTGTTTAAAAGTATTTTTTATATTCTCATTTTGTAACTTTTTCTGTTATGAGCCATGAGATGTGTGTGGGGAAACTGCTGTGGGATGATCTAATAAAAGAAATATGCAATGACCTTTGACCTCTGTCACTGAGCCAACAGTTGGTTAACACTGCCACCGAATAGTAAAGCAAAGTACCTCCCAGAGAAAATTACTCAACAGTTTTATTGTTGCCTAGTAACAGAAAAGTTGTCATCACTAAGTAGAAGAGAGCGGTGCTGCTGGTCCGCTTCATCGGCTCGTAGCGCTCCCTGACGTGCTGGATGTGGTACCAGTGATGGTCATTTTCTTCAGTGTCCTGTTCAGCTGTAGAAAGAAGATTTATTCAATTCAACCAGAACAAACCAGCAGATAGTGTGATAAAAACCACTACTGACCTCTTCAAACTTGTGGATCTGTCTGATGAAAAAGTCTCCGTAGCGCCGAGCCACTTTAGTGTCAGCGATGTGGATCATGTCCTGTAGGGAGACGCGTTTTAGACGCAGCGTGGATAAAGAAAAGCTGATTTCTACGTTTCTGCATGTATTACAAATGAATCAGATCTAAATTTATATTTAAAATCTGTTTCTTGTTTGTGTCTCTATGTACAAACGGGGGAAAAAACATTTCTAATGTAGTTCATTGGTTAATGGCTATAGCGCCTTCATGGGTTTCCACAGCCCCCCAAAGCGCTTCATAACATAATCACCCATTCACATGCTGGTAGGGAGGAGCTACAATGTAGCCACGGAAGCCATCGGCCCCTCCGACCAACACCGGCAGGCAAGGTGGGTTAAGTGTCTTGCCCAAGGACACAACAGCAGAAACCTCTCTCCGGAGCCGGCATTGAACTAGCAAGCTTTATTTCCTGTTTTTAACCAAATATGGTTTTGTCTTAATTAAGATGTTATTTCTTAGCTTAAAACTCAAAAGTTTCACATTTTCATCATAACTTCATAAACAGGGCCTTCGCCTCTTGACAGCAGAAGCAACACAAGGTGCACTAGAGGTTATATTTATACCTAGAGATGAAACGTAATGTGGTTTGATATCTAGTCTGTACAATCTGGATGCATTTAAGCTCCGAACAGAAACCTTTCAGAGACAAACGAAACCAAATCCTTCAAATCCTCCCAACTCTTCTGCATTTCTCCAGTAAACTAGAATACAGAAAACAAAACTGCTCTTCATCACCTTGTCGATGTAAAAGTCGACTTCAGAGGCGGACTGGAACTCTCCATCCAGCGCCGAGATGCCGCTGGTCCACACCAAGTTCTTCATCTTGTGTTTGAAGACGAGCAGCTGGATCCGGAACTCCTGCTCCGTCATGTCGAGGAATCCTGCCAGCTTGGCCACAGGCATGGTGGTGTAGAGCTTCAGAAAGCTGAAAGGACGAGATGAGGTTAGGTACCGGACCACAAGGACCACTCCTCTGAACGCAGTCGGTTTGTACCTTCGGATGGTGGAGAGTTGGGCCTGCTGCTGCACCTCCTCAGCGAAGACCTTCCGCTGCTGCTCGAACGGCTCTTTGTGGTAGTTGGGGTGGACATTGTCGTAGTTCGGGACCACAGGTGACAAGAACTTGGGACAGGCGAAGCTGAAGAGCTCTTCAAACACTTGCAGGTCTCTTGAGACAGAGAAGGGGACAAATGGTTGATTCTGCTGCGATAATGTTGATCTAGCATCTTAGAAAAGCAGTTTTACTGTAAATAAACGAACGAACGTGATAGTTTCCTCACCCTTTCTGCATACGAAGCATCTTGTCTCCGTACTTCTCCCTCACCTGGGTGTGGATGCTCTCATCGATACGCATGGGGTACATGGTGAGAGCGATGGCCAGGAGGCCATGCATCTGCTCGTTTTGTTTGTTGATCTAAAAATGTGGGAAAATACCTTCTGTTGGTGTATTTTTTACATTTAAAAAGAACTCAATGACCAAAAGTTTCAGCATCTTCTGATACCAACTCAGCCCCTTAGAGGTAAGTGAATGGGGCGAGTGAAAAGAAATGAACACATAGCTGGAGAGAGAGGCAAAATGATAGATTAAGGTCATTTTTTTGGGAATACTGTAATATTCTCTAATTTTGGAAAGTTTTGTATTTTCAGAGGGAAAAAGTGTCAAATTTACAAGAAGGACGTCTGGATAAGAATTTTACTTCTTCCTAAGGCAGAGGCTCCAACCTGGAGGGTCACTTCGGTTTAATCTGGGTTTATGAGCAGTGTTGCCAACTGTTTTTGACTGAAAGAAGCTGAAGTTCCCCCCACACGTCGCTAGATGTCGCCAGATGACGCCACATGCTAATTTGCATATGACGTTATCTGGTTTGCGTGATGACGTCACCGGTCTGGTAGAGTAAATCAAATAAAACCCGTGTGATTTTATTAAAAAAAATTATTGAATTTATTTTTTAATATTTTATTTACATTAAAAAAACCATAGAATACAAAACAGCAGCCTTTAAAACATCAAGGAAAGATGGCACAAAATAAATGGAAGGAATATTTATATTTTGTCTGAAGAGAAGGGAACTCTTAAACACAAAAATGTGAAATTGATAGGAATGTATGTATGATTGAATTAAAATGAATTTTCTCTTGTAGTTTTCAAGCGCCTTGAGATGTATTCTTCTGTCGTGATTCAGTGCTATATATTGACCTAAAAGATAATACAGTAATCCCTCGCTACTTCGCGGTTCGTTCATCGCGGATTCGCTGCTTCGCGGATTTTTTCTTTGGAGCATTTTTCAGGGGGAATTCGCAGATTTGCGGTATTTTTCACTGATTCGTGGTATTTTTCACTGATTCGCGGTATTTTTCACTGATTTGCGGTATTTTTCTATGCGAAATATCAAGAAATTCTTGTTTTTTTTTCATCAATTTCATCATAAAATGCACTTTTTGTAATAAAACTAAAAAAACCAAGTAAAAAAATTTTTTTCTTGAGTTTTACCCACAAAAAGAGAATGTGATCATACGATAATTCAATATAGTACTGTATGTCAGACTGGGCGGCTGGATTCGGGAGTTGAGCTTGTTGGGAGCGTGGTTTCACAGACGCGGAAGTGAGAGCGTCGGTGAAACGCCGGCTGATTTAGGAAACCCCCGAGCGTCAACGAAGTGACACGTAAATGCCGGGCTTTCCAGAAGTAAGTAAGATAACTTACTATGAGCTGATAGTTCGCTGGATTGATCGGTAGGTTGGAAACTCTTATCATGAATCTGAAGAAACGATGACTGAGAGGTGAGCTGGAAAGGCGACTTCCATTTATAGCCGCGGTTTGTGACGTAGGTGCGACGTGGAGGGAATCCCCGCGAGGGGCATGCTGGGAGTCCCTACTTCGTGGATTTTCACCTATCGCGGCCAGGTCTGGAACGCATCTACCGCGATAAACGAGGGATTACTGTATATATATATATTTTTTTTGTTTTTGGTTGGTTTTGTTGTTTTTAGTACTTGTGTGTAAAAAGAAGCAGGCCGTATTTAGTATTCAGAAACGTTACATGCAAACTGCCAATGACCTGAGGTGTTTGTCTTACAGTATTATTCTGTTTTTTATAAAAGTTTTAAATGTGCTACGTTATTGAACTCATCATAGAGTTCCAATGTTCCTTGAATGCACCACAGGTGGTGCGAGAAGCCATGTGTGAGTGCGACGCTGGTGCCAGCCAAGCTCAGCGGCCTAAATGCAGCAGGATGGCGGAAGGAGCGGTCGCCTTTAAGTAGCTCCGGTGGCTAGCTCAAATAATGGACTTGTGAAAACCCACAAAAGGTTTGATTGGCCAACGGGGGTAGCGTGATCATGCTGCACGCACATGCGCAGATCATTTTCTTTCTGATCCTCTGGAGGGAAGGACGGTCCTGTCGCTTCAGATGCATCTCTAATCTGTAGGTCAAGTCGGCTACAAAGTTGTAGTCAAAGTAGCTGAGGGGGTCAGAAATGTCGCCAGATTTGTCGCTAGGCGCTTTTTTGAAAAAAAAAAAAAAAAACAAAGTCGTTAAGGGGGTCTTAAAAGTCGGTAGAAATGGCGACAATGTCGCCAAATTGGCGACACTGTTTATGAGATTACATTTGTAAAAACTTTATTTAATATTTTATATCCCCAAAACACATCCTACTCTGTATGTGGTCCTGGTTGGGAACCACTGTAGTACGGCGTCACTTGTAATTATATTTATTAACCTGCAAAGGACTTTTTAAAAATATTAAAAAATTAGATGCCAACTTGAATTAAATGTTTAAAATGGTTTAATCAGAGCAGACGGGTTTGAAGTGTGGCCCGCTGATGCAGATCTAAACCTTCTAACATTTTTGTGTTCAGATTTTTACGGATGTCCCAAATTAGAGAACAAATTCAATCCCCTTAAAATAGTTGTAGCATGTTTGTGGCCCGTGAGGATAATTTACTACTTGGGGCCCTTGTGTTGTACAGTTTGAACTGCATGCAGATTTCTGTAGCGCTCCTGACTAGTGTTGTCAAAAAAATCGATACCTAGATATAAATCGATGCTCAAAGTGGTATCTAAATTAGATATTCCATCCCTGTGGTATCGATATTATGGACTATTATACACAGCCTTCTTCAAGTACACCGACACGCACGACAGCCAGATGCCGTAAAGCAGCCTCCGCCTCCCAGACAAACAGAAGAAGAAGACGCCGCATGGCTACATTGTAATTTCCCACGCGAGTTGTCTCCGATCCAAGTTTTGTCTGCCAAATAAATAAACAAAAACATAAACAGTGAATTTGGGAGGTGCTTCACAGCCCAACTTAATTAGCATACCAAGTCCGACACGTAGTTGTATATTCACGCTTATGTGCTTAAAGGAAACTCCCGTTTATTGCAACCCGGACTTAATTTCTAGCATGCAGTACGTTTGTTTACTCACGCTGACAACTTTGGTGCTACTTGGATTCCCCGGGGTATTTAGATCCATCGGCGAATCGCCGTCAGATATGGATATCCATATAACGGGTGCGGACGGGCACCCATGGTGCAGCCTCGAAATAAGACATTATCTGCACCAAAACATCTTCATGTCGAAAGGTTTTGTTAGGAATCATTAACGTGATTCCCCGTTCGTTTGGAGCG